AATGACCCAGTGAATTCCCCTCCAAAGACCGGAGATGTTACAACTTACGTGGTTTATACACAACAGAATATTTTGCCACACTATTCTGAATGAAACGTACATTTTATTCGCTAGGAAATTAGCAAGTAGTCATTCCTCCAGTTTTTAGAACTAAATGTTCATTGTTCTTCAATTATAGGCCGGGGAAAAGGTTCAGTATGAGCCTCATTGCCACTGACTCGAGACATTCATTCATGTCTGAGCTGCACATCACTTTCTGGAGAACGTAGTCAGGCTTAGCCGAGGGATCTTGGAGGTGTGACTAAATTTTATTTATTTATTTTGGTCAATATATGTATATTTTAGTTGATGAAGATTTAAAATATTATTCTGNGCCAAGCCTAGGAATTGATTTCTTATGAATACAGACGCAATCAAAGTACACGATAAAGAGACGTGTTTAAGTTTTATGGTTGCACTGCAGACATCCTCAGTAAATGTCATGTCACCAAATTATTATGTTTTACTCCAATTAAATCCGTTGCCTATTGTCAGGTCGTACAGCACTATATCACAGGAGAACACCATAAGTGCAAAGAACACAAGATATAGCACAGCAACAATAGTAGCACACGGTAAACGANGAAGCTAGCTAGGCGAAAGACAGGACGCACGGTCGATTATCGATCTATCAGGTCTCCCAAAACACGAGAGAAAAGACACGGCTTCAGCAGCACGGGATTTTAATGGTGTTGAGCACAAATCACAAGTCACGAGTCAATTTACAGGTTTTACTCTACTGGTTATATATAACTGAAAATAACATTGATGGATGCAAGAAAACGAATATACCAATGAAATACACAGTGAGCAATGTTCAACCGGTCATAGGCTACGGATCAGACGGAGAGAGTGAATATTGTCGTACGACGCAATATTGTTGATTTATCTCCGCGAAACTAGTGTTGATCAGCGGTGACCCTAATTTGGATGGAATGTGTTGTAAAATTGCTTGATTTCGTCCACAGAATTAGCAAGTGTGCAGCCGGGCATATCGTGGGACGAATGTCATTGATCTTCGTCCCAGCAGTAAATGACGGACGCATGTCTCATTGGCATCAATCGTGGCTCCTTGATGTACTCTTGCGCGCTGCTATCACAAGGGAATTTTGGTTTAATAAAAAATAAGTAGCTGAAAGTATCAACTTGTTGCTCACACCTCCCATATAATGCCATCGATAGGGTTACATCACTCGATGTGAGTTGTGTACCCCAAAGAGCCTCAGAATAAGTCTCTGTCAGAACTAACAAATAATCAATTCATCTCTTATTCGATGCGCCAACACGTTGGTGATTTTATTGTTGCCACTCCCGATCTGTTAGAAGATTCGATTGAAATGGGACGCACAAACCGTTAAAAGTTCGCTTGTTGATCACTTAAAATCTCTACGTAAACCGTTTCCTTTGGGTGCTAAGATATCATCCGTTCAAATGTTTTCATACCATTGGAAAAACGCCCGCTCACTGCCAATTTGCACGAGATTTTGTGATCGTAGGTGTCGAGGTTTGAGGCATATTATCATATAGTGATCACCTGTTCATGAGAAAGAATTACGGGGGTGTNACTCTGTGCTCCATATTTTTATATCTGCAGGAGGATCTCCCTCCAAAAACATACATCTCCTCAAGTTTCGGATGTGAAAAAATTTAGCCAAGTTTTCCATCCTATGAAATCCTGTTCACTGCTGTTATCGAAAAACCCTTAACCTGTTCTATACGTTAAATGACGTATGCGAACAATAATTATAGTTTGCATTTACCCAAACAATGCACCGCGAGCGTAGTCTTCGATGATATCCATTTATGGCATTTTAAAAGAAAGCATTCTATGTTAATGATTTCTTTATTTGCATTCAAACTGGAATGATCGTACACTTCAACTTAACGGTTGAGTAGTGGTGGTGATGACAGCTGGCCCTCTCATATCAGCACTATCGTGAAATTTCAAGCATTGAAATATCATTTAATTTGATCGAAATATATTATCTAGCTGTCATGGACAACGAAAATCGTATCACGGACTAGAAATTCCACAACGTTAAAAATATGAGCAGTAATTGAGTTTTGATAAAAATTAGAGTAGCTTTGAAATGATGTGGAATGATTGTAGCTCGAGATGCGGATGTTGGTGTTGGTGAGTTCTCCGAGCAGGAAGTGTTGTTCACAGACGTTTCGTAGCCAAGCTAGGCAACATCATCAGTGCGAGTAGCTTTACCGTGCAGATCGCTAACTGTGCATCTTAGGAAAAAAAGTCCCCTTACACCATAAGGTAACCAGAGTCTTAAATGAAATATTGTTCTTATCCAGCACACTGTGGATAGACGATAGATCTCACAGGTAAAAAAAAATAGGTGGATAGTCGTGAAAATAGCCCACACGCGTATATTGCCGTACGCTGATTGGACCTCGGTTGGCACTGACAATGACAGTGGGTCTCCTGTTGATCAAGACACTGTTTAGGGAGGTTTGTCTGAGTACACAGTGCAATCAACCACAAACATATTCCCCGTAAGGCCTGCTAATGACTCCATGTGTCCTAAAAGTTGCCTCCACACAATGTTTGACAGTCCCATAAGCCGGTTGTTTTTAGATCATGTTTGACTGGCGTCTCATCGCCGTATTGTTTTCATATAAGACTCAAAAGCATGAACAAATTAGCTATTCAACGTTTCGCGAATCCTTATATAAGATGTCTGACATCCAGCTTAAGAGATTGAATTATTTATTCTTTTTTATCTGAACAGCTTACTGAGACTCACACGAGTCGGATTATCTGAAGAATAACTAGAGCATTTCAACTTGGATGCTTGTAAGGCCGCTTTCCAATAATGGAAACCAATAAATTAAACCCCGGGACTTGCAGTGGCAAACCACGTAAGGCCCCGATAGCTTAGCCGTGGTTTTTAATGTTCTGCCGAAAACAAGGTGGCAAACTCTGGTTATCGTATTTGCTTTCATTTTGACCACTACCCAATGTTTGAGAAGTTTATCAAGTCTTTGGCACAAAACCCTTTTAGGTAATAATAGTAGAATGGATTTCATCAAGGCGTGTTCGTCAACATGCTTAGATCATAATAGTCCCTTTTATTCTCTCACAGAAGGTGACCTTGGTAAATCAAAATATCGCATTTCAAGTGTTGGAGTACTACTGCTTTTTGTCAGTAAAGGTTAAAAAATAAGTACGATGTTTTCAGGGGTTTAAGTTTTATGATCAAGTTATATCCCCAAATTGTTCGCCATGGTAAATGTTGCCTGCTTATTGGAATGAAACACACTTCCAAGACAATAATACATTAAAGATCCGAATTGATCATAAAAATTTGTTCACACGGGAAACAATAGATATATTGGGATAAAACGTTTTCTTCACCTGAACAACTGTAAAATGAAATGAAAAGAATAGGGAGGCAAAAAATCAAATCGTGTGGTTTACCAGTAGTACACACCACAAAACAAATGAAACTTAAGCGGGAAGAGATAACCTACAGGGGTGTTTCGTCTTTCGATTGTTCAGTCAAATCACTCAGTGTGTATGATAAGCACAGTTCGACCGATTTACAAGGGGGATCAAGAACAGTTAAGCATGATATCCCAACCATGGCCAAAGATGTAAGCATTCAGATTCACGATCATTGCCCTCTGGGTGCCCAGAGGAGATTCGTACAAACATTTAATCTCCCTGACCCACTTTATTCACCCCAACACGCGTGGAACGAATTGAACTTTTGACACGCACAAATTTGAAGCTAGATCTGGACCATTAAGGAATCCCTCATTTCCTATTGTTCTTGTTGCTATTCATTTCAATGGTGCGTAATGGCATGGTTACGAATAACTGAAAAAGAGCTTTTTCACCAAATTGTGCTGTTTTCACTGTCCTCTGTTTATCTATTCACTATCACTACCACTCTATCCACCACAGAACTGAAAACCACTGTGATAAGTACAATAATTTTTCAGTTTTTCGCACCAGCTAGTTCCTCGAATGCTTAAAATATCTTCAAATGCTCAGCTCCATATCCAGCAGAAAAACTGGTACGATTGATATACAAATGAAGCATAGATTAGCAATTTTAATATAGAGTATGTTCTTGGTGCTTGGACAAGGTAACTGAAGAAAAGGAAATGAAACTAGTTTACTTTTAGTCGGCGTAAAATCAAGCATCGATTACAATGATTGAAAAACAGCGTTATTGAAGTGCATTAATAATAGGAAATTATATATAATTATAAGGATAAGTTCAACGTGAACGTATCAAATAATTCACACTACTGTCGGGAGTTAGTTTATAATCCGGGAGGGGGGTCTGCGGCTTATTTGAATTATTTGGCAATCGTTAACCATAACCGAAACGCAATTAACAATTCTAACAGATTGGAATGCTTTCTTCTACGGGGCATAACAGCAAAGATCGATGATGTAGCATCCTTCGAACACGATGACTCCGCAACACGGATGTCACATTTTACCAAGACATCGTTATCTTACCATGGAAATCATTTTAAGCGTTGGTCAGCCTGGGGTACTGATCTCAGCCCCTCAGGAGTGCAACTCAGCCGAGTGTTTATGTTATTTTTCCATTTATAATGTTCCGATGACTTAATGGTTCATCACCGAGCAAATCGTCCACCGATTTCTTTTTTTATAAATATGCTTGTACTTCCGTGACTTCCGTGGCAAACTGAATCCCAATGGGTGACATATATGTATGTATACCATATTCCGTATACTACGCGATAAATCTGTTATGATTGTTTGAAAAGTTGTTTTCCACTCGGTTTTCTTCTATCCTCCCATATATACTCAATGGACTATATCTTGCAGAAATTGCATTTAACATTAAAATGGTAAATTGTTTAGTGAAGCACAATTAGACATCAATTCTCCAATTTACTAATGCAATATTGTGTTTAAACAGTTTTTAATTCACTGCATTTTTGCGTATTCATTCCAGTGTCTCATGACTGGTTTGATGTACCATCGACCAGCAGATCACCTAAACTATTTGCAAGAATGTTTGGAAAAGATAAAGAAACAGGGGATCTCTGGCGTACGATGGGATTTGTTCCTTGAAACCCAAACAGCTTCTCCACCGCCAGCAACTCCGAAAAAAGGTAAAGAAGAAACAGTATCAAAAATTGTTTTAGGGACTGAAAATCTATCAAAATATGATCCATTGCCCGGGATTGATTCACTTCGTGTGAAAATTCGTCCCAACGCTTCCATCATCTGTGTACTCGCTGGGCCCGGTGTGAACAAGTCAAATTATTCACAAGGCCTAATTAATCATTATCCCACATTTGTACATTTGCACATGGGTGATCTGTTACGCAACCGAGCTAAACTTGAAACACAACGTAAATCTTCACGTTGGGTTGATTCGTACTTGAAAATCAACGCTGGAGAACTCTTGCCTCACGTGAGTGTCTCATGCTTCATAACTCGCTTTCAGGAGATGGTAATGGAATCACTTATATGGAATCTGAACCAACACTCCGACGCCTCTGGGTTTATCATTGATGGGTTCCCCAGAACAGATCAACAGTACGAAGAGTTAAAGAGTCAGGTAAACATGTTATGCTTATTATGAAGAAAAGTATTGCAAGATCAGCCTCTCCATAAAAACGTGAATGCAATTAATGAACTGAAAGTGTCAAATTTTTCTGCCTCTGCTGATCACTTTTTATTAAATTTGTGGAATAATACATGGAAGAACCTATGCTTTGTCATCTATATGTATATATCACCGGCTTTCTAACAATCATTGTGCCAACGCAATACCGACAATAGCACAAAATTGTGGTGCTGGATTACCGAAGAGAATCAGGTGGACGAAAAATGACTACAGAGTACTTTTAAATCGAAGTTCAGAAGCGATTCAAAAGTGATATTTGAAAAGCCGTAAAGTTAGATGTTCCTCAATCTCACACTTGAGCTTCTTTTGTACTGTCCGACGTAAAATTCAGTTTATTTAGGTACGCGAGAAATGTCAACATTTCAAATGCAGTGGCTAGTTTATCTACCATTAATACAAAGTATGCTGAAACTGGATGTTCCCACACTGGATTTTAGAGTAAAGTACAATTACATAGTGAATTTCATCACGTACAGAGCTAATGAAGCGTGGTCTGAAAAGCAGGGAGGCGCTGGAGAGCTGTTTCATTTCACAAACAGTCAGGTTCGGAATGTCCCCAATCGAGTCACAATCATAGGGGGCTGAGATGAACGGGATGAACTACTAGTACTACGCTTGCAAACATGGGTTATACTATATCGTGTATGTGAAAAATAAAAAACGGTCTGATCAGCTGCCTGATGATACTGTTTTTATGAAATCGCATTTAAACAAGGTGCAATCTCTCACGACACCTCGGAGCAGCCGCTCAATCGTACATTCCATGTGGAGCTGCAAACATGTAACGTCAACCCAGAGTCGATCAGAAGAACGCAGCCACTTTGTTTCAAATTAGATGCTTGGTTCTTTATTATCTGATATTTGGTTTTCGCATCAAACAGGTTCTTAGCTCGAAACTAGACGATTGTGTTCATAAAAAGAGCCTGATGGCGCAAGGTTGCAGTTGTTAGATGTGAGTTTTGGAGTGTGTTCGTTGAGCACACAATGCGGAAAGCGTAAAACTCCGGTCATCAGTAGTTCCAAATCTAATAATCGCAAGCTTTAGTATCACAAATAAAGTTTAGTTTAATTGCATTAGTTTTTGTGATCTAGATAGTGAGCAGCATTTAATTATTAAAGCTTCGAAAAGGTGAAGGTGTTCTCCCAATTGGATAAGGATTTGTGCGGCGAGTGACTGACAGTCCAAAGACTATTTCGGACTTACGGTTCGACGTCTATTCAGCTACACGAAGGGGTTTATTATAAGACATTGTAGCTTGCTTCCTCAAGCAGAGTGTCTTATGCTTGCATTTTTGACATTCACAAATTTGGCATCTGAAAAAAATGCGATGAGACTAATTGTATAATGTATTCTACTTTACCAGTAGTGTTTCGTTTTTTCCAGATCGGATTTGATCGTCTAGCTTGTGTGTTTCTAATTGATGCTGCCGAGGAATTCTGTAAGTACCAGCTGAAAGAAAGGGGACAGCAGGACGAATTTTGGAAAGATAACACTCCAGCGGCAATTGAAAATCGGATTTGTCTATTCAAATTGCAAACGCTGCCAGTGTGCAAATGTATAGATAATGATGGAAAACTCCGGGTGGTAAGTTCACATCCTTTTTGTTTAAAATTGGTTTTGTGCTTCGTGTTTTTTTTAGGTGGATGGTGAGATCAAACCGGAACACATTGCACGCGATATGCTAACTGTGTGCGAGTTCGTGCTATCTGGCAAAGTAACGGGTAAGACGCCACTCAAATCAGTCTGTTTCTCCTCTTACCCTGAATTTTGCCACTCATGTTTTGCCCCTGCATGTGTGAAACCTGAGGCAGTCACAAATTTGATAGACTCAATCAGTCATAGAGGGTATTTCGCACAGAGTGCATAACTTTTTCTTCCAAATACTTGATTTCTATTGTTAGCTACTTCTAATAAGTTTGTTTTCCTCTTGGTTTGTTCATCGTTCTTTTTGTATTTCTTACTTGATTGGGTTATCACTCCTACGCCATCTACCGGCCGTTACTTTACTCCCTCTCAGGCCCTACTTCAAGGCCAGCACCTGGCTCGATTTCCGAGCGCCCACCCGATCGTGTCAGTCATGGTATGACTGGCTGTCCCGGCCAACCACCAGTATTTAACATTCCACGCATTGTACCACAGTTTCCAGACAAGGGAAGAGTTGCTGATCTGTATACTTGTCCAGTCATTCTACTTTTTGGTAAGTTATCGCTACTTATACCTATTGATTGGACTGCTTCTTTTTCGATAGTCCTTTAAAACATGGCATTTTACTTCAATTCTCGTTTAGTAAACCTTAAATCATGAAATAATCGCAACGTTGTTTAAAAATGGTATTTTCTTGATATGCCGCATGGAGTTTTTATTTATGTATCATAAACGTGAATTAGTTGACAGCGATTATATCACAATGAATGACTTAAAGAAACTGGTAAATCAAGATATGCGGTTTGGTAGAACAAATGTGTTCTACACTTGTAACTGGTTTGATGCACATAACCATGATATGTAGAAACCTTTGCTGCACTCTGAAAATTAAAGTGGCTACACCTTGGTAATCGTGCGTTTTCAAGCGCAGCTTTGGTTCGCTAATATGGCTCGGATCTTTCCTAGATGTTACAATAATAAGCTATTTGCAGCGATGTCTTCACAAAGGAAGATTAAAGAGTGTCGAATCGTCATTCAAAAACGTTTTACCATATATCAAATATAATCACCCTGCAAGCGCAGCATAACTGCCACTCAAACTTGTAAATGAAGTTGATTAAACGCTTTGTTTTGAGCTTATAGTTGCATTGCATACGGTTATTCTATGAGTCCGACAATGGCTTTTTATCAGTTTTTTTCATGAGTCACAATCTCACGTTCTCTCATTTTCTGATAGCTGTGAAGTAAACCGTAACGGTGATTTTTCTCTCTAACTTCATATGTTGAGAATTTGTCTGTTTTCAGACTCATATTTTTCATAAAGACATTAGTTTTGTATTTGTATAACTTTTGCAAGCTGAGATATGCTTACATTTCAGTTAAAAATTGTACACTGGTCGTCACACCGGAAAAAATATAGAAACATAAATAAATTCAATGGAGTGCTGTGTAAAAAAATTAATGTCTTTAAACTTTGATTCATTCAATTAAAGATTGACGTAATTCATTTATAACTCGCTCATTATGGGTCAAGATGCGAGCCAGTTACGGTACAGGGGATTTTTTATAAGTGTTTATTCGGGAGGGTAGGTTCCGATAAGAGGAACGAGTAATCGAGTGGGAATGAAAAGAAGATAAGTCAAAATGCAAAGGATGGCTGGGGTCGTTTAGAATCTTATTGGCAAGGATCATGCAAGACTTCATATGACCATTAATAAGTTCTGTGATTATTGACTCGACAGAAATTAACGTTAAACGGCTTATTATCAATAATCCACGACGGACAGTTTTAAAATTTTGTTTCAATGGACCGGGAAACACTACAGGGGCGCAGTAAAGTAAAATAGGGAGAACAAATTGTTTAACAAAAGAGAACAAAACTTGTTGGGGAGTGCGAAATTGTCTGAGCTTTCGAGCTGAAAGGAGAGGCGCCGAAGTTTTCTCATACAGTTCTGAATGTGTGTCGACAACCAAAGATTATTATCGATAGTAACACCCGGATATTTGGCTGAGATCACTCTAGACAAAAGGTTACTATTAAGGGTTACAGAGTCTGACGGGAATGTAGAGCGGGAAGAACTAAAAATGCACTCCAAGCATTTGGATGTGTTAAGGTGGACTGGTTTGAAAACTGATCGATTCGGGACAGATTTTCCGTGAAGGAAGAAAATTCCGAAGAAGAAACGGTTTGACATAAAGCGACATCGTCAACATACTTTTGGATATGAGCAGGGTGTGAAACTGAAAGATCACTAATGAAAGCAGAGAAAAGATACGCAGAGAGAACAGCACTTTGAAGCACACCAGAAATATTGACTAGAGGACTTGAGGTATTCCTGCCCAGCTTTATGAACTGGGTGCTTTTGGTTAAATAATCAAAAAGCTATGAAAGCAGCTGTCTCAGGGTGTCAAAAGATTCGAGTTTAAAAAGGGGGATGACCGGGATACAGAATCAAAAGCGGACGAATAATCGAGAAAAACGCAACGAACAGATTTGGCAGAGCCGTACAATGACTTCCTGATAAAATGGACCAGAGTAGATAAAGCATCCAAAGTGGATCTGTTGGATTTATTCCCTAACTGGAGAGGATCAAGGAGAACTGTGACAAGTGACTGTAAGCGACTCAGGATTACTTTCTCAATCAACTTTAGAACTACAGACATCAATGCGATGGGGTGAAAACGTTTTGCAAGAACGGTTGAGGATGAGGTCTTTGAAGCAGGTGTTATGGTCACTGGTCGCCAGGACTCGGGGATCATCTGTGCAGAAAGAGACTCGTTGATGAGGGATGTCATTATACTAGTTAGAGGGGCTGCTCCAAACTTGAGAAACGCTGAAGAAAGACCATCAGGGCCCGCAAATAAAGAAATGTAGCGTTGAGGCTAGCTACATTAACATCACTGTTCACATTTTTCCTTTTTTGTCCACAGAGAACACGAATTCTTTGCCACATAAACCTTGTGCTTTTCTGACTGACACAGTTAAGAAGTGATGAACCAGAAGCAAACCAAGATTGGGCAACCGTTATGGAACGACAGAGAAGAGAAATGCGGGTTAATGAAAAGTTGCGGAGATGAAACCTTATCTGTTTTGATCGTATGAATGTTGGATATGCAGAGCGGGGGTATTTCTTTGGTCTTAAGAGAAGAACACAATGATCACTGGTAGCTACTGGGGCCATTAGTTTGAGCGAAAACAAAGTGGGATGGTTTGTGATCACCCGGTCAAATATGGAGCTGCCTCTGGTAGGAGAATGAGATAAATCAAACAAGCCAAAAGAAAACAGATAGAAAATGTTTGCATGGTTGACGTCATCAACAGCCAAATGAAGATTTTCATCTAATATCGGAACCAAGAACGGAATGTATTGTCAAAGAAGGAAGATATATCTGATTGAGAGCACGAAGGAGGTTTATACACATTAGTAGTAATTGCACTTTTATATCGGGTAAATCTGGGATGACAACGAATGGATCAACAGTCAATAGATTTTTCAGCATAGCTGAAAACCACTTCAGACTTGGCACACCAAGAAGTGTTGACATACTTTGCCACACGGCCTCCAGTTTTCTTCGTGCTACGTTGTCTGTCCTGCCGGCAACAGTCAAAACCATTTATCTTCACGAGAGCATCCTCAACGTTTTGATTTAACCAGGTTTCTTCTATGCATATGACACATATATTGGAATGTATGCGTGTGTTCAGTGAGGAAGTTAAATCCGAGACATTTGCGAAGAGAGCGAGCGTTGGTACTGACCAATGACGGTACGATCATCTTGGCATGAGGGGTGCTGTTAAGCGCACACTACCATCCAGCACGCTTGCGCTTCTTGATCCAAGCATGATTGCCATAATCTCCAAGCATATGAGGCACAGAATTAACATGTTTCAATCTAAGCATATCCTAGCGAGAGTTGTTATTGGTCCGGAACATGTTGGACAATGAGATAATCATAAAATCCAGTGAGACAACGAGCACACAAAACACAGAGCAGCCAATCGAATGGCGCGCCACAACAACTTGTAAATCCGTATTTCGTCAACTGGAAACCCTTCTCTTGTGAAACAACATATATACGTTTCTTTAAATTTATTGTGCCAACTGATAACATCAAACATTTGGTGTCCGCTGATCCACTTATATTTTCCAAGCAGTCTCCAAATGATAGGCACGATCAGCGGACCCCTGCCTTTTGCAACGTGGTACTGCATTTTTCTTCTGTTCGTCCAAATGATGTCCAGAACTTTAGCGGAGAAGCCAAAAGCACAGGTTTGCACAATTTATCTTGGATTTTTTCGCCGCATCTGTATACGTGCATACTGTGGGTTATGTGAACATTAATACACGGTCAAAAATAGCATGTTCATGAGCCGAGAAATATACAGACACTAGCTTTTAAAATTGCCATCCCTAACTCTGTACACAGCGTGAATCGCTCATCACTCTGGCGCTACCTTGGTAAGAATTATGTCTGGCGATTGACATTGATCGCAATCCTTTTTGGTCCACGATTTTGTTGTTTCTGACCATATATTAATGGTCACAAACTGCAGTATGCCCGTGTACAGATTCAGCGAGATATTCTATGGTGTATTGAGCCAACTTTTGATTTCGGCTTCTCTATTAAAATTATTTACAGAGCAGCTCTGCTTCCGAATTCAAGAACCTTAAATCTATTTCTTTTTTAGCTGCATACAGCGATTAGCAACTAGTATTAAATAGAGCACCCCGATACCATCATTCCCCTTTTCAATCAATGCTCCCCCAGGTTATCTAAGAAAAATGTTTTAATCTTTCACCTGGAGGTATGACATATGATTCAAACTGGTCATCAAAACCAAGAGGCCAATCAGAGCAGCAGGATGAGGCGTTCTCGTTTTTTGTATATGTGGTTAACCAACAAACAGTCAAACATTCCTTCAAACAGGTGGTGGTAGCTAGGTGGTAACGGTTATCACGTCGGAGGAATTCTCTGTGAGTCCCACAATCATTATCTAACGTTTCCCATAGAGTGTTGTATGGTAACCCTTTGCTTGACCGCTTCCGGAAAATTGTATGGTTCTATAGTCAATAAAACGAAGTAAAACTGGAGTAAGTCGCCACTTAAAATGAAGATAAACGTTTTTTACCCAGGGGTATGCACCTCAGTGATTGTTTAGCAGAGCGCTAATCGTTGCATGTGAAACTGAACAGAAAATTTTCAATTTGATCTCCTGCTGATGCTATCGTTTTTTACACATCAGGTTCTCTACATTCATCGCATCAATGTGGAAAGAAGATATATTTCGTGAAATGTTAAAAGCTGGCCTAATCCCTTTCGATCACTGAATTAAAGGGAGCTGGGACATATGTAGCTCACTTGGTTGGTCATAAATAGTGAACTAATCGGTGGATGCAAATAAAGAGTTGTGGTAGCCGATTGCGTTTTATGCTTTGAATGCATCACTACAACTTATTGTGTTCTGGTACAACTGGGTGAGATAATGGCCTGTGTACAATCGCCTGATGTGTTCCAAAACATTTAACCATATATTTAAAATCTAAAAAAAATTTAACAAGTAGCTGCTTTTCTCTCCATTCGGATGGAATTTCCATTGATACTTGTATCCAAATGTTGATGTGATGTGACAGATATATGCAGCAGGTTCGCTTGTCTAGAGGGAGCGGGAAGTTCACAAATTCAGTATATACCGGAATTCTGAACAATCCGTTGCATTTGACGAATACCTTTATTCTGATCCTGAAAAAAATGTGAATATGCATTTGAATTTTAGGGGCCCTCTGTAATCAAACAGCACTAGAATGATACCATCATCTAATAATCAAAAACTGATCACAATTGCTCATTGGCAACCAGCGGTTTCAAGGAAGGAATTCATCGTANATGAAGAGCAAACGTAGCGCAAACTGAAAAGCTAGGAAGTGCTGTACATCTGTTGCAACCTGTGGATCGAACACGGGATCTGACACAGAGAATCCAAACACGTCACCCACTCACACACCCAAATAGCTAATCAGAAGGCTTTTCAAATTGCGCCTACTCGAAGTAGAACAACCCATTTTTGCGGTTCAATTGCTTAACATACGAAGAATTCCTCCTTTGAAATTCAATTTCAAATCGACCATTGCTCTCATGGAAAAAGTAATTTATTTATAACAGTCACTGAAGTGTGTATCTTCTCGGCTACTATTCATTCAGCTTGTAAATGTCGATGTAGAAATTAGATAACAAAGACGGCCATCTGTTCACTGACAAGTTTCCTGTTTCATTTGGGGTGGGGTGGGGTGGAGAACGAACTTTTGAGTCCATAAAGTGAGATTAGTTCATAGAAGAAAACATGTCACTTGTGCATTTCACATGCAATCCAGTGCTTCCTTATCGATTTGGGAGTAGTCCCTTTCCGCCGGTTGAAGAGTGCGTTACGCAAAGGTTATCGTGTGGATAGTCTCGTCAGAGTTCGCGAGCCCGACTACGGCGCCTACCCCAAATTGTGAGGTATCGCATTGCGTTATCAGTGGCCTTCCAGAATAATTGTGTATCAGTACCTTTGATGAGGTCACCAGACGTTTAGCTTCTTCAAATGCTCTTTGTTCACCTCGGGACCACCTTCAACTAGTTTTCTTCTTCAGTAGGTCATAGAGAGGAGAAAGAACGATGGATAAATTCGGTATGAAACGATGGTAGTGGGACAGTATTCCTAAGAAAGATCGCAGTTTAGTTCCGTTACGCCGTGCGGCTGTTTCGAATATTGGTTTCACTTTGTCAGGTAGCGGATTTAGCCCTTCTTTATCTAGTCAATAGCCCAAGTAATCAACAGAATCGGCCAAAAAGACGCACTTGGATTTCTTCAAACGCAACCCTTTATCTAAAAGACGTTGTAAAACGCGGTTTAATGTCTCCAAAAGCTCCTTCTCCGTTCTGTCCGTGATGAGTATATCATCCAAACACGCATATATGTTTGGAATATCTGGCACCAGGTTATTTATAATCCTTTGAAAAATATCAGGGGCTGCATTTATACCACAAGCGACCTTTGTATTTGTACAATCTTATGTGTTTGCTAATTGTAGTGAAGTCTTGAGAAGTTCTACTTCAGGGTAAGTGTGATTTAAATCAAGTTGAGAAAATTTCCATCGTTCAGCTAAGGTGGTGTATAAGTCCTCAATCCTAGGTAACGGATAGCGATGGATAAGTGCATAACGATTGACCGTGAGTTTGTAACCCCTACATATTCTCATGTGATCATCCGGTTTTAATACCGGCACAATTGGGGCTGCCCACTCAGAATGTCTCACTGGTTCTATGGTTCCTTCTTGTTCGATTCTTCTCAATTCGGCTTCCCCTATGGGAAGTAATTTGTAAGGGAGTGACCGCGGTTAGCAAAATTTCGGCATGTCCGGTTATCTAAGACGAATTTTCGCTTTAAAGTCCTTAAGTTTTCCCAGCTTTTTATCGTCGAAACATGTGTAAGTCGATGAAGAATTGGTTTTAGAGAATCTTCTTAGACCAGTTGCACTCCGTTTAACAAATTTGGTGGACACTTGAACCAGTCTCCACCGAGCAAATTTACTGGGGCATGATCAACCAGATGGATTGGCAGTTGCTGAGTTACACCAGCATGGTCCACTCGGGTAACTAATTTTCCGAGGATGGTATTGGCTTCTCCTGTATAGGTTTTAAAAGTGGTAGTGCAAGGTCTTATATTTGGTAGAAAATTGAACGACTTTTTAATAATGAGTGATATCTCTGATCTCGTATCTATTTTCATGGTAATTGGGACACCAGTTACTTTTACATTGACTAGATATGGGGGTACCTTGTAAGTGATGTCGTTTGTGGAAAACACATGATTCAAATTAATGCATCAGCATCAGGTGACTCACCACAATTCGGTGCAAGGTTGCTGATGGCCGATTGATTGGTGCGAGATCTGCAAACTCTTGCCAAGTGACCGATTTTACCACAATTCGGGCATTTCGTGCGCTGACGAGGGCATTCATTTGGAGAGGTGTGACTAGAACCACATCATTAACAAGTAAATTTATTTGACGGGGCCTTGGGACGTTGAAGCGTTTTCCCTTGTCTCACAACTTGAACTGGTTCTGGAGAACTGTTAACGTTGAAATTTGATAATTACTCCTTAATAAGTTCCCTCTGATGTGCGGCATTACATGTTCTCTCCCACGTGAGCTGCCCTGGATCCTCTGAAAGCAACTTCTCCCGTGTCAGATCGTCCGATACGCTACCAATAAGACACTGAATTTGCATGGCTTCTTCAATACGAAGTGGTTAAATCAACGAAAACCAACAATAAGGGATAGCCTGATGTATATGGGAGATAAAATCATTGAAAATTTCGGCACTAAGGTGTTGTAGTTTAAACACATGATATCGCGTTGTGTACAAATTTTGTTCCAAGCCCCAGAGCTTTTCAAAAGATGCAACGGCTTTGGCAATCGGAGGTTTCTCCATATGGTTCAATGCGTCGAAATGGCGCTGACCTTTCTCTCCCAAATACTGACGAAAAAGCATAATCTAATGAATTTCATTGAGGGAAGTATTCGGATGTAGCACAAGGAAAAGTCTCATTTGATGTTGAAATGTCGTTCTCCAACAAAACCAACTATGTTGTGCGGATTTTTCTGCGACAATGGGCCAAAAGGGCCAAACTCCTGCGTTCATTATTCCCGTCGAAATTTGTTACGTTTGGATTTCAAACAGTGTAGTCTTGGACCCGTAGAACAACCGCTTACAGGGTAGGATAGATTTATTATGACTCGTTCATAATCAGTTGTGTCAAACGAATGTTCAACAAGACAGTGATATAACTAATGGCCAATCAGGATCGGACCCATGTCGGCCGGCAGTATTGGCATAGGCAAGTGCGCGAGGTTGATCGATCTGCGTAGATATCATTCGATAACGCCTGTGGAACGAGTAAATTATCAAAGCGCAGACTGAGAGAACGTACGCCCTTGAGCCACAGACACATATGCAACACATATCGCCTCAGTTAATATAAATAATGTAAAGTGAGGTACGTCAAAGTATGATGAAAACCTTTTGAAAGCTTCTTCACGTAAAGCGGGGCAGAACAACCCCGATATTGGCACATTATTTTAACTGTTTATGGAATAAGACCTTTGATGGGGTCAATAGGCATTGACTGAATCAGATTTTTCCGTTTGTTTCTGAACTATGCAAAGCCATTCAGAACTATGTTAAACCGACTCAGTATTGTCATTGAGTTGTTTGGTTGAACTGGTATTCTAATTGGTATGTGGCTGAGCTCGAAAACGTTCTTCCTCGCTTGTGTTTTCCAGCGCATCGCACCGTCCAGGCCCGCACACTCTTTTGTTGTGTGCTAAGAGGCAATGCATACGAATCCCATTTTGTCACATGCATCGGAAAGGAACCCTGTGCATCTATCTGCCGTTCCCAGCATTCAGCATTGTGGGATCGAGAAAGATTCATGTAGCAGAAGAACAGACTGTGATTCTTTCCGTACTCTAGTCCTGGAACGACACCGTAATGCGACGAGGAAATGCAGGACTTAGCGTTTTGTTGCGAAGACGAATAAACACAAAGTGAAAATACGGTTTTGTTGTGCGGAGTCCCCGATACACCCACAACGTCCTGTTCTCATCTGAACGTGGCCCGTAGGCCTGATATGACTGCGTCTGTTCAGCATCGTGTCACACACTTAGGCAACACGCAGCCAGAAATTACGAGCAATTGTGATAGTCGGAAACGCGCTCAAACCCGGGGTGCGGGTTGTTATTTGGGTTATCGTATTTGCTGCCGATGTGATAAATCAGTCGAGCACTAATTTCCTCACAAGCTTTGCTTTGAAAGATTAGTTTCTTGAATTTGCAACAGCAAGTGAGATGATTATTTCGTCATTTCTCCTCAGTGGGATTGGAATTCCGTAATTCCTATTGTGAATCCTGAGAAATTTCCCTTTTACATTGCCACTTTTGAAAATGTCGGTTAAATAGTCCATGGAATCGGAGTTGAACCCAACAAAATACGAAGGTCTCTTCAATACTCACACCATGACTCAAGAACCTATCAGAGTTAAGCTTCCTTTTGGACGCCCTCCGGTACTAATTATATGTTGCCTTTGTAGTTGTAAAACTTGGAAAGGTTGTATCCATGCATTTGGCTTGAAATCCTACATTGTTTGGCACGTGGAATGAAAGATACGGTTTCATATAAAATGCATCGTAAAGAATTTCACTGAAGTTTGATTCATTCACAAAACTTCTGACGGAAATGGTTTGTAACCTGTTCTTTCTAAGTTGGGAGCCAGGTGATAAGGGAAAAGGGAGCATTATAACAATCGTGAATA